TTTATACATATATGTAATATACATACATGTATGTGTATAAAATCAGACAAACTTGTCGCGTACAAATTCCGTAAAATTTAAATCCTCAAAAATGAGTTTTATTACAGAATAATTATTAAATTTAGAGACTACAATTTAGCAAAGGCTATTGCCTATTTTTGATTTAATATTGCTACTTTAACATAATCTTAGTAAAACGTACCCGTTATAATAGTTTAATAATGTCAATACTTTGATTTGTTTGGTAAACAAGGAAACATCACACAATGGTTTTCTTTTTAAACAACTAAAATCTATTAAGCTTTTAATTTTCTAGATATTAAATAGTGAAGAAAATAATAAAAATAAAAAAATACTGATTATAAAATCAAAATAAGCGGCTTCAACTTTAAAAGAATTAACTGTTCAATTTTAAATTTTTAAAACAGACATATTTTATTATAAAGGCTTTAGAACAACTATTACTATAACATTATACACCTTATAAGTTATAATAATAGTTAGTAAGTACTAATAAAAGGATTAGAAATATATAAACTATTTAATTTAATTTGTAATTAATAAAATAAAAAAGACAAGATCATTTAATTATTGCGTGACACAAACCTTAACTTTATTTCTGAAAACAAATCACAGGTGAGTTTGAGTATCATTGTATGATTTAGTGTAATTGAGTCACAAACTTTTGGTCCATATTTTTACTAATGGGATCTTGATAAGAAAGTAACTTACTTTAAAAAAAATAAAATGTCAGTGTTGTTGAAGAATTTACCGTTACAGAAACAAGAAATCTTAACACTGTTTAAAAATATCTAGTCTTAGACAACTTAATCATTTAAACACAGTCCACTTTATTGCATTATTTTATTAATAAAGTTGTTTATAAAAAAAAAAAAGTTAGTTATAAATGTAAAATTGGCAACATTTTAAATATTTACTGTAGAATTAAAATAGTAAGCAAATTAAATCTAAAATTCATTATTTAGTGTAAATTGTTTGAAACAATTATTTGAGCACAGAACATATTTTGAATAAATTCAACATAACTAAACAAATAATAGTAACGCTTCCCGACGATTGTCCATTCAATGTATGCACTTATGAGATTGTAAGCCAAATTTTAAAGCTATTGTTTACTACCTATAAAAACTATAGAAATTATAATTTTCATAATAGCATAATATTAATCTGTTGTACTGTGCAGTCTGTGCTGTTACTTGTTGAATGTAGAATATAGATAGTAGAAAAATATGATAACTAGTTTAATGATAACACAGATATACATAATATTGTGGCGGATGCAGGCAAAAGGTTGCCCGGCCGGTGTCCGAAGACATTGGTCGGTAGTTGTCGTGTGCATATTTATGTGTGCGCTCTGGGTGACTTTGATCACATGCGAGAAGTTCGCTACGGTTCGTCACAACTACCGAGATCTGGCGATCTGACCATGTGTTGAGGCGGTATCGATGCCGACAGCTAGGTTGCGCTAGCTGTGGCGCCTCGTGGCCATACATCCGCTACAGTCAAGGTGGATTTATAAATCCACCTTGGCTACAGTACTGTATGTGGGGCCGCCACAATATTATATACATCTATGAATGATAATAATATTATGTATTATCATCATAGTAGCAGTTATCAACCTACTTGTACCACGGTTTTTGATTGTTGTGGTTGAATAGCCATTCGTTAGCCGCTGTCAATATAGATCTGTCAACCTACCTATCATGACGGTGTGTTAGAAAAGTCGGTAATCTGTAAATATGAATCGCTGGTCAACTAAAATATCACAAAACATTTTATTGTGTTTGGTTATCTGTGTACTCGCCTATCGGACAATGCGATCATATATAAGTATTTTATTGGCTCCCGGTCTTTGGAAAACCAAAGAAATATAACAATATTTAAGAGAAAATGTAATATCTTTACAAAGTCATAGCTCACGACTAGATGGATGAAAATTAATAATTCAAACGAAAACATATTTTTAAATTTTTTTACTACAAATTTATGGAATTAAAAACATATGTTGCCATTTGAAAACGCGAACTTAGAACCTTGTTATCGTATAAGGGATGGAGATAAAAATTTTCAAAGTATTGAAAAATATAATAAAACTTATACCTAAAAGAATAAAAAAAAAATAATTTTCAAAATATTTATATTTTCAGAGAAAATGAGTGTCTTACGTTAGTTGGATCACCCTGTATAGGCGAAAGTTACCCTTAGGCTAACTCTGTGTTAACCTACGAAAATTCAAAACACGATATCTCGAGATTTATTAGAGATAGAACGTTCAAGCAAAAAGCGCTAGATAGATATTTCACGGGACTATAAAAAAGACATTAACGAAAAAATTCCATAACCCGAAACCCTTATTTTGGGGGGGGTTCGAAAATTTCAAACCCCCCATTCGGAGCCAAACAAAGGTTAGGTAGTCTTACGCGGTGAGCTGATAGCACCGGATGTGTTGTTTAATTTGATACTACACTCGGCCCGATCGGCGTCACACTATGACTATAACATAATTTGTGAAAAAAAAATTAATGACACGCCAGAATGCCCTAAGAAGGCCAAAAAAACAGCGACCCTCCCTACTTTGAGGGGGCCTGGAGCCCAAACTATTAGCCCTAAGACCCCAGAACTCACACCAAAAGATTTGGCGTTTAAAATATTATAAGTGTCCGAGTTCAAAAGTGCTAACATAACGGCTTTAGATATTCGTTTATGGGAAAAACCAAAATCCAGACCTAACATAACGCAAAAATGTATGTTGTAGTTTTTTTCGTTCTGTTAGACAAAAAGCTCAACTTCAAGCGTTCTGTTAGTACTTTTTATGAATTCATCAGAAAGCCCACAAAATTTTCCATTCGTCGACACTAAATGTAAACCCCTACGACCAATAGCCTTTCCACAAGGGCTACCACAATGAAGCAAAAATGACCGAAAAAATTGGGTGTAAATTGTAAAATAAGTGTATATTTTAAATTGTGTGTAAATTTTAAAATAAGTGTATATTTTAAATTAAGTGTATATTTTAAATTGTGTGTATATTTTACATTGTGTGTTTATTTTAAAATAAGAATACGGAAGTATTGATCATACTTCTTCAACCTAACCTAACCTAACCTAACCTCACGTGTTGTACGTTTATAAAATGTATGCATCACACATTTCAGTAGTTCGGTACATATGCCCCTGGATATAGGCAACCGAATATACAAATTATACCTTCCCTACCGAAGCGAAGGTCTGGTGTTTTATCAGAAAAAGTTCAAAAGAATGAAATGTTTGTGTGTCTTGGTGGCGGTTACTTATGGGCTAAAGAGTAAAAATCATGAATAAAATGTCTAGAGGTCAATCTGTCTTTATTAAATAGAGAAAAGAGTGAAGAGTGATAAGTAAGTAGAAAATTCTTTTGATTTTCGATTATTCTAGTGTTTATAAAAACGTTCAAAGAGCACAGAACGACTAGGTGATGGTTAAATAAAATGTCTTGAGGCAGTCTTTGAAGTTTTTAGATCTAGACAATTATTATATAATAATAATAATTTTTAGTGCATCAAATACCTATATTATTTTATTGTTGTACAAACATATTACTTACTTATCCACAGATACACTTTATATATAAATTCACATTGTTTTAAGTTAACTATAAAAGGTGAAATCCATGTATTGATGTTTTTTTTAGAAGAGTAACCAAAAATGTATCCTACTAAATAAATGAAAATAATTCAAAATTATAATAATGCCAAGTTTGAAAAAAAAAATAATGTATCAATTTCATAAAATATAATAAAAAACTATAGTTTTAACTTTTTTAGAATGGAGCGAATATTTATTTATAAATTAATACAATGTATTAATATTATACTTCTAAAAATAATGAAATAGTAATCAAATGTTGATGTTTAATTTCAATACAATAAATTTCAAAATGCATTGTTCTAATTTTAGTTATTTTTATTCAGTGCTTCAGATATTATTATATTAATCATTTATTTAAATAATAAAGTCAGTTTCAACAAAAATTATTTGAAATTAATATTTTAATTTGTATGCTGTAATAATGCCTATAGGCATTATAATGTATGAAATCACATCACATAGAAATATCAAAATAGTTACCTAATATTAATAATTGTCTAATTTTGTTCAAGCTGCAAAAAAATATATATATATATATAAAATAAACATTAAAATGTTAGTGAAAATAAAATATGTAGTATCTCACTATTTTATGTGAAATAAGAATATGGCAACCGCTAGTAGCTTATTAAGACCTTGAGAATACTATTAGTTATTTTATAGAGGGTTGATCTACAAGTCTTACCAAGAAAAATGAGAAGCTAGGTCGGATGTCTTCGTCGTGCGATGTGCCTACAAGTTTTTCAACAAAACCGACAAGTTAAGGAATGGATGACTATTTCATATTTCTTTTAACTTTATCCGAACTCTTGTATCCGTTCAACTCCGCCATTCCTTGGACTAACTACTGAGAACACTTTAGGATTCAGGTACAGGTGTATACATATGTACATAGATTTACTTATTTAATAAACCTGTTTCTTTTTTTGTTGTAAGCTCGAGAGTTAAGTTGTTTAGAGGTATGGTCATCTGTTAAGTTCCTCAGGCGATATAGCAAATATATAAAGATGACTTTAAAAATATTTAAGTGTAGATACGGCTTAGCCATCCGTCCTGTCTTCGGGTCCACTAATTTAACCCTATAGACTGTCATTAATTAAGTGCACTTTTCTATGATTTTCCATGTAATAATAAAACAACAAAATCATGTTTAAGACTTCTATTCAATAAAAAAATATTAACATGAGTGATATTATTATGAATATTTTAATTCCATATCGATTGTTTAAAATAACAAAAATTAAGTTTAAACTTTAATATACATTAAATATATAGTTGTTAACAAAATTTCGTTTTGTTTACATTTTTTTAAAAAACAATAATAGTTTTCTTAAAATTAATACATTAAAATATATAAAAAATCCCAATTTTGAATAACTGGTATATGTACATACATTTCAGTTAACACTAATGACATTAATAAATTAGGTCTTGATAAATAAAACTAATGAGTTAAGTACTTGTTTACAGGTTGATAAACTTTAAAGGTATATTTTCAGTTATTATAAATATAATATATAAATATGTATAACAGATTTATAAAATTAAAATTGAGCAATGTATTACTTATAAAGTAGATCTACAACAATTTGTACTTTTAATTAATAAACAAATGCATCAACTTTGGCCATAGCATAGTTTACATGGGCCCACACTGGAAAAGCATTTATGAATTCTTCGAATTCATTGTTAAGTATCATATTTTTGTGTATAACCCAATCACAAGATACTGTGATATTTAGCGTGGCTTCATTGAAACCATATTGACTTTCAACTTCCAACCAAAATCTGTACTCTTCATCTTTAGTTCCACTAGCATGCCTAACTATGTAAACGTCGTTATTTTCCCATTGAGTAGTCACCTCCGGTTGATCGGTAAAACTCCAGGCTGTCAGGTTAACGCCTGGATAAGGACTGATATACACATTAATCCTTTCTGGTCCATTGACATTAAATTCTATTCGACGGCTATGAGTACTTTCATTGCTTAATAAAATAGCTGTATTACTTTTCAGGACCGACATTGATGGTGCAGAAGGTATCCAACTATTTGATGGTTGCGGGGTTGGGGTAAGCGGCAGCCCACATAGTAGTTCTTTAGAACAGTCAATGTTAACGGCTTCCTTCATTTTTGGCACATATTTAGAAACTGTAAATGGGGCATTTCGATCCCAATTTACTATCAAAAAACCAGAATTGTTGAAACGTACCTCTTTTTCAAAATTATAAAATGTCTGTTGTACATGTATTATATCGAATCGTTCATTCTTTGGAAGAATAATGCCATCAGAGTAAGGAAATCCAAATGGCGATACTATGGTAATTATTGAAAGTAAAAATAAACCAAATAGCCCGTAAATGATCATTGATGGTTTTTTGACCATTATAATTACTGGTGACATGTATCCAACAGTAGCAAAAGTCGACATTGAAATGAGTGAGCCAATAATGTAATCTGGATTGAAGTTTGATCCAAACCGTCCAGTAATTGGGATGAAAAGTGATAAAAATGTTTGTGTCAAATAAAATATAAATGTTATGGGTATAAGTAACGATACAACATAAATAGTTATCCATAAGTGAGGTTTTTTTTGGATTCTCAACATACCTAGTATGCAATTAGTTACTGATGGAAACAAAACTATAATCATGAACAAGAAACTAGATCGTAGTCCCATCATTGTAGTGATGAACAACATTATGGTCCAAAACAATTGGTTTCCATTAAACAACGATAGAGTCCAATCTGTACGTGTTCTTGTTTTATTTCGAGGATACAAAAGTGTAAATAACAATATGGTTAACGTTGAAATTGCAAAATAGACAATTAAATTGATCTTGTTGTTATACCAACTCATAGAATATCCCAGCACGTCCAAAATATATGCCACTAAGACGCTCGATACAATAGAAAGTAAAAACGTATAAAATGTCCCTGCTATGATAGTTAAAAAATGCAAACTGTACTTTTTACGATTCATTCCTATTGTTATTTGGCCCAACGATAAAAATATAGAAAAAAGTGAAAGCAGAGCAACTGTGAAATTATATAGCACTCCCGATAGTTCTGTATACGAGAACATATACACGCCTAATACATCAAAGAACACATATTTAGTCTTGGATTTTGTTGTGACGTTGTGCGATGAAAACATTTTACTCAGCGCCAAAAGGTTATTCCCCGTATGTTGTAGCACTGCTGGTTCAATTTGATTCAAGTCATCGTATTTAGTGTGGTAAACATATCCATTTCTGTAGTGAGCCAAATCTAGACCAGATAAGTTTCCGAAATCTCTGAATATTCTAAAATCCGTATCTGACGGAATGATTCCTGACTGAAAGATTTCTTCACCTATTACTTGGCCATGCGGGTGAGGTACCGAATGAGCATATAAATCCACCAAATATGAATTCGACTTAGTGGTCTGGAACATAATTTCCTTGCCGCCTGCTCCACAACTATCTAAGTTAATGAAATATTTTATGTATTTAGACCAAGGATGTTGAGTAATAAAACCATGCGAAGCTTGTAAAATTATTTCTTCCCCACCATTGAATAAAAATATTATCGGTCGCCGCAAATCGTTGCATTTGGCTAAGACTCGAAGGAGTTCCATCATAACCGCGCAGTGCACACCGTTGTCACTTATACCAGGTCCGGCAGGCACTGAATCGAAATGGCAATTTAACAATAGAGCTTCTTCAATATAATTTTTTGGATTTAGTTTCACAACAATATTCTGTAAGTTTTTATAATCAAACGTAAATTTTATATTTCGAAAATTTAACATTAAGGACCCGCTAACTTGTTGATTTAAAATATCAATGTTGTTCACGTTGCCTTGGTCTAGCATGATACTCTCGATTTCCGTTTGCAGTGCATTGAAAGCTAAGTTTTCATTTTCGAAACTACCGACAGGTCTGGGACCTATATCCGATAATTTTGACAACGTTGCCATTGCACGTTTTACAACAAAACCACTAGCTGAGTTTGAATTCTCAACTTCTGGCAAACGGTTGTCCATGTAATACACAAAAGCATTAAGTAAAATCAATATACATAGTGCTGTTAAAGTAGTATTTAACGTTGAAAAATATTTTTGGTTTTTCGAGGTCTCGTTTTCAATATCTTCAGGATTCTGGAGGATTTGAAATGTTTCCATTGGCTGGCTATTGTCGTACCTATTACCACGACGTCGGAGCTCCATTCAATACTAGCCTGTACAAAACATACAAAACTAAATAGTAGAAATCCCTATCATTATATTTTATTTAATACATTATGAGTTTAGTTTGTGATTTTCACAATTACATTTAAAATTAAATCTAGTTCTAATCTACTCTAATTATATTGTGCACAAAGTGCAGAAAAGTTCCAGTAATGAAGGCTTTTTCCGATGTCTCCTCCAGGGTTCTAATAAATATGTCATGTCAACTTTATCTTGTTCAGGCAGCGAACTTAGTTTTAACAAAAGCGTGTCTAACCTTTGTTTTTTAATTGGAACTCGATAATGTTTTAGCTGTTTGAATGGCCTCAAAGTGTTTAGGTCGAGCTGTCACCGTACTGTTGGATACTTTCACCATAAGACCATGAGGAGCAAAAGTCCTGGATAATTTTAATTTTTGGTCATACTTTTGAAAAGCATAACGCTTTGTACAAATTGGTAGATTTTTCGATTTGTTCATTTTGGCAAACATCCGTGCTCCTTTCATGTTGTGATCGGATTTTTAATAGCGTCCATATCTACCGTGGACGGTAAGTCTTCCAAGTCCGAATCATGAGCAGGTTGATGTATAACTGCATTGCATTCGGAATTACTTAGAAGATTGCTACACACTTTACTTACAAACTCGTTACTTTGACCGGAACTGTTCATTGTTTTTGGGTTATTTAACAAAATCATAGTACAATCCTAATTTACAAAACAATCTATAAGGTTTGTTTAAATATATAATGTTCTTAACCAATAAGTAAATTAAATTGATAAATGTCTTAAAAATATATGAAATGTTGGTTACATTAAATACTTTTGATGAACTTACTGCTTCAGTGTTGTCTTAATATATAATTTCAGTCGACAATCACAATCTCAGCATAACCTAAAAAAAACATTTAAACTTAAAATTGATTGCAAAACAAATTACATAAAAATATTAATTAATCAAACAGAATAAAAACAATCAATATAGTTTATGTAATTAAAATCAAAATATGCTTCTGGTAAGGTAGATAGTCAATTCAGTGATCTACCCTTTTTCTCAGAACATAATTGCACAATAATTTCACAATGTAACTTTACTCCAATCGAACTTTTTTAACTCTTAAGGTAATGTTTTAAATTCTTGAAATTCACTCTTTTAACTAATAAGTTCATTATTGTTTGTCATTTATATTTATTAAACTTAAAAAGTTGTATTCGAATTATCTCACATAAATCTAAGTCAGTTGCGCTAATTTGTATGAACTATACTATTGTGATAACCGTTGAAGAAAATCCATGACTTACATTTCAAAAATTATCCTATTCAATGGTTATTAAATGAAAAATGTTTATAAACGGGTTACTAATGTTTTGGTTTGTTAAAATTTTAATAATTGAACTCGGTCAACAGCCATACAACATACTCAAGAAATATGAAGACAAGTCCTGTCTTATAAACATAAAAGACTATAAAACATTATTTAAACAATTGAATTAATAATATTAATAATATATTCATTTGTTCTTTGGCATACAAGATATTTATTAATTATTTCGTTTGGTTACCTGTTATCAAACAGTAATTCACGTTCAGAAATGGCAAAACTCGTCTTGTGGTATTGAAATTTACTCAAATTAAAACTATACTTCAGACAAGAACGTACGAATTTTAATTGTTTTACGTTAAAACTAATTAAATTAAAAAAGTAATAACGTGCGTTCCTTAAGACATCTTGACATTTATAAGGAAGTTGAAAATGTAAATATGACATAATAATGTAAGCAACATTATTGTTTCTTATCTTATCTCGTTATAAGCTTTCTTTAATAGGGGGTCGAGACACGGGGGGTCGGCAGTTGGCCGAAAAATGATAAGGGTTCGATCTACAATAATTCTGACAAGACGGTGTTACCAACTTAATTAATAATGATACCTGATATTTCTTTTTAACGATATTGATCTATCGACCTATAAAGAAAGTTTATAAAAGTTCTATGTATTGATCCCGCTGCGGTATTATAATTGGCGCGAGGTGTGTAAGAGGCGCACTGCGCAGTCCATTTCTTTATAGATCCATGATCATAATGGCCGCCACAGACACAATTTCATCGGCATCGGCATTGTAAATGGTCGTCCACTAACTAGTATAAACCTGTGGTTACGAGTCAATTAATATTGATAACATTTTCATAAACAACAACACCGTAGCTGATCAGAATGCCGGATATCATTTTCTCGATATTGTATAATTCTTCTATACTATTGTTATTTTTTTTTGCTTGTGATTTCGATTGGAGAAATTTTAAATTTCTTGACGACACACCGGTCGATGATAATTCTGAATAATATTAATAAGTTTGTAAACAAGAAGTACATTTTTTAACGTTTCTACATGATTGTATAATGGAATATGTATACAATTTACCATTTCAAGTCTTAGAAGTACCTAATTTGCGTTTGAAACGACCGTCATGGTTAAAAAAACCGTCGGCTATGTTCATGTACGCAATAGTTACAATATCTTATTTTTTAGTTACTGGAGGCAAGTACATTTTTCATTATATTGTTTTCTATTTAATATTTATATTCTTACTACAATTTAATTTTCAAACTTTATTGTCTAAAAAATTACACTTATGCTATGTTTTCTTATTGCGCAGGAATCATCTACGATGTGATTATTGAACCGCCTAGTGTTGGTTCTACAACTGATGAAAAAGGTCATTCCAAGCCAGTAAGAATGTGTTTAAATGTCAATTCTTTGTTGTGCATTGATTTACTTTTTAATATTCAATTTTAAATGTATTTTAGGTCGCTTTTATGCCGTATCGTGTCAACGGACAGTATATCATGGAAGGATTGGCCTCCAGTTTCCTTTTTAATATTGGAGGTTTAGGATTCGTTATTTTGGACCTAACCAATAATAAGTCAACGCCCAGATTAAATAAGACTTTACTGACTGCGGTTGGATTTGCGTGCATCATAGTATCTTTTTTTACATGCTGGACATTCATGAGAATGAAATTGCCGTATGTATTTATTGAAATTGATCAACTAAAAAAAAAAAGGTGTAATTGTACCATTTTTAATTCTATTCATTTTGATTATTTTTTAATCAATTTATTATTTATCAGTGGAATAAATTATATTTTTCTTAATTTCTGGTTTTATGTCATAATTTTTGAGAGTCGATTAAATATGTATCAAAGCATTTAAGTTGCTATTTGAATTTAAATTTGATTAAGTTATAAAAATATGTTGTACAATACATTTTTGCATTTTATTTTAAATCTACCAAAAACAAGATAGGTGGTTTTTCGCTGAATCTAAATGGCTTCCAAAGTTGTTAGCAACTAACGTCAATATTATTACAATAAGACTAGAGTCCGCGACAAACAAGCTAGAGGTTTGGGCTAAACGCCACTAAGCAATCAAAAGGGTATATTTTAGGTTTAACCTAAATATGTATCCTTGCGCCAGTTCATTTGACGCAGACTTTAGTTCTGAAATTATTAAACAAAAAAAATAAAAAACTATTTTTCAAACATACTGAACTTGTTGAAAATATTATCGTTTGCGTATTTTACAACTTTGGAGGCGTTTTAAATAATAACTACTTGCTAGAGGAATATTAAGGCTAGATTTGGATTTAGCAAAAAAAAAGATTTGGTTTTTGGCCCATGAAAGTCTTTATGATAACAATTTAATTGGATTTTATTTTTTCAGTGGCTATTTGAAATCATAAATTCATCATCAAGTGTATAAATATACTAAGTCATACACACGTATCAAAACAATATTGAACAATACAAATACTATGAGCTAGCTTTAATCCTAATTATAAAACAAATAAGAAATAAAATATCTTATATTATAAGTACAAAGTGTATTTTTTTTAGTGTCTGTGGATACTATTTTAATAGTTTGATTTTTTCTTATATGTTGTGCCTTTTAACAATCACAATTTATATCAAGTATTTTATTATTTTCTCTATAAAATCTTTAAGTAGAAAAGTTGACACAAGTTTATATTAAATCTAATAATTATAAAAAAAAAAATTTAACTTCTTTATAAAGCAAAGCACATACACTATTATTTAGTGGAAATGAGACTTTAGAATTAAATGTACATATGTTATTTATATATTTTTAACATTGTTTTGGGTAACTTAAAGTAGGCAATATAAATAAGTCTTCATGTTTCTTGTTTTGTAGAAGGTCCTTCTGAACCACTGTAGGGTGAATACGGCGGGGGGTTACAAAATTCCTGAAGATGCGGTTCTACCAAATGTGGCATTGCTTGAGGTTGTGTTGGATATGAGTATACTTGTTGCGGGTAGGGGTGTTGAGCAGGTACATGTGATGTAGGTATGATAGAAGATGATGGTGCTGCAGTTCCATGGTATGGGCTTAGCACTCCAGGATTATTTAAGGTTACGTATGGAGGACCAGTTACATAATTTAATATATAATTTTAATAAAGGAAAAAATATAAATTTTAGCCAAAATGCGTAATGTACAGTTTTAGGACATTTTGGTAGACGTATAAGAATAAATATTGACAAAGTGAAGCTTCAAAGTACAAACGTCATTTGGAAAATATTTGAGTGATGGGATGTTGAAGTTAATTAGACTTATAATGACACAAGAAAAGAAGAAAACTTTAAACCCAAATGGAACACAATTGTAATGTCTTAAAGTATTTTTCAAATTCTGTTTTAATTTATTTAAATAAAGCCCTTTTTTTTAAAAACGCCCTAACTAGATCTTTTCGACATAGTATTTGATAATTTGGTAAACAGAATTATATTGTATAAAATAAAAAGCGTACGAGGCATGATCTTTTGGTGGAATTTTTTTTTTTTTTTTACTTACAGTTGCGACTCGACGCTATTGTCGACTTGGCCAGTCCGGATGTCAAGCAACTTCTTGGCCATGACGACGGTGTGCTTTTTAGTATAATATATTTTAGAATGTAGAAATGGCCAATAAGTAACGGACTTCAACCGGCGAGAGGAGTACTCGTCATAATGATTAATGAAGTTCAGACTTCATGTAGACGGCGGTCGACGAGCGATTAATAATGATAAGAGCGGTACGACGGTGTTGACCATGTAGCAAGTGTACGGGCCGTTTTTCGGACACTCGTTTGCGCCTTGCGCGTTTGTCTGCTAGACCGTCAGTGATTTGAAAACCCACCTGAAATGGGTTCAATTTCTACATTAAACTTAATGAATGGCTTCATGCAAAAAGACCCTAAGTCCATAACATGTATTAATTCTCGTTTATGGGATCGCAGTTTCAAACGCCTGATTTTAACCAGTTAGTACACTGGTCTTCTGAACCGATATGCACTACAATTGCCTATAGCAACAGCCGTTTAGTTGGTTCACAAAGAAACCTTTGCTCACAAAATTAGTAATTTTGTTTAATTTCAAACTATCTAAATTAAAAACGATAAAAATTAAATCATGTTATATTTATGATGATAGTCTATGAAAAATTGTAGGTTGAGATTCTAAAAAGCTTCTTTCAATCCGTGTAGATTTTACCGTGTTGTAGTAATTGATTTATTTATATCAAGAGAAAAACTACTATTCAAGTCGACGTTATAAGAAACGATTATTGTTTATTTATCATCCAGCCGATTTAAAATTTTATGTTGCTAAGCCACATATTACTATAACAGACAAACATTGCAATTAGCTATTTTTAATAATCGAACCTAACCTAAGATTATTTCTACATATTTTTTCAACCAAAAAAATCCATAATTAATGCCAATAAAACCCATATCGTTATTATACATTAAAAACCTAAACGAATAGATTACAAAATATGTTATTTTATAAGGTTTGAAATGCTGTATACAAAGACATACATAATCTATTCATATACATTATTTATTTATTTAATTAGTATACAAATTAACTATTAAAAAGATATAAGATAAAACAATTTTTTTTCGAATTTAATTTATTTTAATTTAAAATTTCCCAAATCTAAATATACTATGAAAACTATCAATCATCTAATTATTCTCCTCGATTTGATCATCAAGGAGATATACTGGATTGTCATAATTGTCAACTTCATAATAATTTCCATCAAAGTAACTGTATTTGAAGTATATGCGGTTTATAGCCGATATACAACAATTTACATCATCGATACCAGAAGTTACTAAATATAAGTTGGATTTTCAATTGCTCTGAATAACCCTATTAAACGACACATATTGAGATAAATTGCAAAATCTGGATCTTTTTCACCTAAAAAATACAAAATAAATTAAATTTATCTCATTTGATACGATTTTTCTTTATGTAGAAGAAACAACTGGTACACGTTATAATAAATCATAGAAAAATAATACAGACATTATTGCTTTTTAATTAAGGGGTGCATGGCCAAAAATCTAGTATAACATGACCCATATTTCTTTAAAAATTAAAAAAAAAACCGAAGTTAGTTTCCTAATTAATTTATTAGAAACTTAGAAGCTTTTATATTAGAAAATTAAATCAGTTACTAAGAATTGACATTAAATACAAAAGAGTCTATAAACAGGCAATAAACAAGAAATACATTTAAAAGATAAAGTCTCATCTTTATTTTACTGTGTAATGCATCTTTATATTTAGTGTATTTTAAGAAAAATCCCATATTCACGTTGTTGACGCTCCATAGTTGTATTATTATTAATTGATTAATTATATACAAATTATTCCAAACAATTTTACATAAAATGGTAAACAAATTTGATATGCATTTTTACTTATTACAGTACGGATGAACGCCATATTAACTTAAGCACTGTTAAGTAATATCTATTTTTTTAAATTTAATATTGCTACTTTTAAATAATCTTAGTAAAACGTACCCGTTAAAATAGTCTAGTAGACGTATGGTCAATACTTCAGTTTATATCGTTAAACAATGTTTTTCTTATATAAGATTAGTCTTATTATTTTAGCATCTCTTACGTTATTGATTTTCCAGATATTATATGTAAGATAATACTGATTATGAAATGAAAATAAATGGATTCAGCTGTTCTTAATCAACTTTCTGATTTAAAATTTTTGAATTCAACATATTTTATTTTAAAGTTCTTATAAACACTCTTATTATAACATATAACCTTATAAGTTCTAACAATAGTGAGTAAGTACTAATAAAAAGTTTAGTAGTATACAAATTATTTTATTTAATAGTTATTAATTAAAAAAACAACCATAGTCTGATCGTTTAATGTTTGCGTGACACAAACTCTAATTATATTCCCCAGAACAAAACGCAAGTGAGTTTTGTTATCAATTTAAGATGTAATGTAACTGAATCACAAATTATTGGTCCATATATTTATGAACGGAATCCCAATGATAAGAAATAACTGTTTATAACGAATAAAATGCCAACGTTGTTGATTTTTTTTTAATATTTTTTTTATAAAGTGCTGGTGTATATTGAACTAAATGAACTTTAAAATTAAGCATGTTTTTTTGGAAAAATAATGGAATTAATAAATCTTTTTTCCTAAAAGTTGCGTAAAATTTGTCTTTATATGTTTTTAACCGTAGTGATTTGAATTAAAATTAGACTCTTAGTAGAAGTATATAAAGTATAATGAATAGTTAAAATATACTACATGTTAGATTGGTTTTATATTTATTCTAATAAAAAAATAATTTTCAATGAAAAAAAATACTGCGAATACATGAAAACAACAATATGCATATAGTAGGTACCAACTTATTTAGGCCAAAAAATACTTGTGTTCATTGAAATATTTTCGCATTCAAAACATTTGTACAAATAAGAACAATCCCATCGACAACAGCAGCAGAAAACACCAAAACAATTTCATTTTACCAGCAAACGATTAGATTTTCAATTCAAAACTACCCATCGATAAAATATCTGTTTGACACATTTCTTAGCGTGGAATAATATACCGTTGGTTTATGAAATACAATTTACAATCGGTTAACGTGTGTATATAAATTATTCAGTACATAAACTACTCAAAATCAGTTTTAAATATTACTGAAACTCAACTCCAAATTGCGTTCAAAACTGGGTTTAAATACTCGAAAGCCTAAAATATAGGTTAGATGCATCATCAAATATTTTCTATACAAATCTCTAAAAGTAACTAGGGGGCCTATGTTCCATGCCTTAGACTCCCAGTCCTTAGTATAGCTCTCATAGCAGCCAAAGACTTCATTTAAAAATGTACTGTATTTTCAATAACCAGAAAGAAAATCGATATTGCTGGTTAGTGGTAACTGATCTACGGTTACGAATGTAGGATTTAATCATTCGGCTACACGAAAAATCACGAGTAAAAAAACCAGTACAGTGGGGTCGGGGTATAGTGGGGACGGAGCATAGTTGAGTCGGGGGATAGTGGGGACGGGGAGGTCACAGGTTTACAGGAATTTTTATATCTGAAAGTGATAAAATCACTTTCGAAAAAAAGCTTCGATGCAAATCGGTAGTTAGTATTTTCAAGCCAGTACAGTCCAAACCAAGCTCAGTATAAACCAGCAAAGTTAGAAAGTTTTAAATTAAGGTTCTGTATTTTTACAAATGAGCATCAAACCATTTATTTGAAAGTGATTTTATTCAATTTTATCACTTTTATTTATAATAATTCCTGTAGACCTGTGACCTCTCCGTTTCCTCATTGCTATGATTACATTATGCCTATACTCTACTGTACTAGTCATCTCGGATAAAACTATATTCATCATATAATATGTGCTATACAAAATGTTACGCACAAAATAATATTATATATAAATCATTTATACTAATTGTAATATTACATAAATCTTTACATA